GTGAGAGTGTGAGTTTGGGGCTGTTTAGAGAAAGAGTGAACTGTTGGTGAATAAGCAGTTTGGAAGGGTTTCAAATTCTTAGTTTGTACTGGCTACTTTTAGACCAAATGTTGTTCCTGACAGTCTGCTGTACTGTGGTAATGACTGTTCTGCTATTTTGTTACACCTAAACACAGATTTGGCCCATATAACCGCTTTCTATGTAAATTAAATCCATCCTTCTATTTTTGAGGTGAACTAACATGCTTATTGTATTATTCAACACCATCATGTAGACAGGGGAAGCTGACAAGACAGTGCTGTATTTGGGAGCGTAGCGGAGGCAAAACCTCAGCCGGTGCCACATGCGTCCTGTGTGCAGCAGGACTGTGTCGTTTCTTGCTTATCATAGTGGAGTCTCTTCATTCGGAAATACAGTTTATCAGACTCCGGGTTCTTCACATGTTGGAAGTGCACAACAGTACGTGAGATTCAAGGGCTTGGGAGGGAGGGGGTTGGGGGCTTTATGTTATAAATAATGTCTAATTCTGGTTAGACAGTGTTGTAGCTCTTAACAGGAAGACTGCTTTCGCACTGTGTATGCGTAAGACCTAGCAATATTAACCTCTGTGACAGTAGTTTCTCATCACTGCCATAATACAGATAATAACATGTCACAAAATAACAATAGTTGCTTTTAAAGCACATTGGCAGTGTTGTACAGCAGGATGTATATTCTGACATACTGTGAGGTGTTTAGCTGTATTTTGCTGGGCCTGATTCGCAGTTCCTTGTTTAATAAGTGCTTTTTAATGGAGTTCCACGTAAATCTTAGTATCCTGTATCATAGGACAGTATTCTGTCCTATGTCCGCAGTATTCTATACTGTATATGTATTCTTGTGCAGTGTGGAATATTCTAATACAAACTAAAATGTTGCCAAGGGAGTTGCCAAGGAAATGTCCTCTATCTATATGCAGTGTTCTATAGATGATGCCTAAACCCAGGGAAATCATAGTTATCGATCCCAGTGAATCATACACAAACTGAAGTAAGGCCAGTATTGGCTAAAAAGGTCATACACCTAACATAAAAATGATAATATGAACATTAAAATTATTCAATAATTCTGTCAAATTTGAGACAATTATGTTTTAAAGTAATATGGAATTCTTCTCTTTTTTGTGTGTGCATGTGATAATTTATTAATATAATAGACTGTTCCTGGCAGTCTAGAGTTCCTTCTGGAGCCAGGGATCAAAATCTCTGTGTATGAGTTCATTAACGTGCAGTATCCAGTTTCTTCCAATCTGTCGTCAGAAGTTTTTATCACAGTTTCTTTTTTTTTCTCAAGAAAGCCATTCTAAACCACGTTTCTCTCACTGGACACCTACCTATCTGGCACATCAGGAGTGTTTGAGTTTATGGTCAGTATCCAGTTTCTTCTCAACTGTGGTCACAAGTTTTTGTCACTTCTTTTTTTTTCTCAAGAAAGCCATTCTAAACCATGTTTCTCTCACTGGACACCTGCCTATCTGGCACATCAGGAGTGTTTGAGTTTATGGTCTGAGCCTGGCTGTCCTTGAATGTTTTTGTAATCTATCTCCATTTCTCAAAAGACACTGTTTCCAGGTAATTTAATCTTTCCACCCAACTCCTGATTTTTTATATCACTTTTTTCCCCATCCTGCTTTCCCATTTACTGAGTTTGGCAGAGGTTACTTCAATTTTATTTTCCACAGAGGAAGTAGCAGCACAGAGAAAATCTTATTTGGAGTGAATCCTCCCCACCTCTGCTTGAAGAGGGAAAAGAACTGTCTGCATGTCAGCAGGTGCTGAGACTGCTCAGTGCTGAGACAGGGCTGCATTAACTGAAAGCTTGAGTATTATTTTATTTTTATTTTATTTTACCTTTATTTATGTGTATTTGTTTTACCTTTATTCATGCCGTATACCTTTGAATACCTGCCTTATCTTTGAATATCTTTGAGCAAACTGAGAACAGTGCCTGCCATTTGTGAAATAAGGGAACTTCCCAGTTGTCCCAATGTCCAAGGACTAGTTTTTATGACATAACTTTATATTTTAAATATGGTGAATTGTGACCAGTCTGTGGTTTAGAACTGTTAGCTACTAAAATCTCCTCCCCTGAAGTGTTCAGATTCAGCTGCACATCTGAGTAGGTACATATATTTAATAAGCAGGTGGAAATATATATACAGAATAAGCATAAAAGATTATTTGCTTTTAAGAGTATTGAGTTATTTAATACAAGAGCAATAGCTTGTCCTATAAAATAATGACATGATTTACTTGATTTTTTTGGTCTAAAGCTTTTAAAATTTTTACTGTGTTGCATGCAAATCTTGAAAGTGCTTGTTCAGTGGTCAGTCTGGAGTATGGTAGGTGCTGGAGGCTTTCCTTGAGTCGAAGCAGCGCAATGGCTTCCAGGTCAGCAGCTGGTCGAGCAGCCCAAACAGTTTTGCCTCTGGAAATCAGCTACTCAGGCACCATGGTATGGAACAACTGGGTAGATGGACATACAGATAATTAAAGGCGTTTGCAGATAGATTATATTTCAAGAGCATAAGGATTTCTGCATTACCTGGAAGCCGCGCGGGTTTGCTGTGAGGTATCGCGTCCTGCGGCGCGGCGAGGCAGGCGGGATGTGCAGGGCAGAGAGTGTCGCACTTGAAACGCTGAGTGCATGGAGCTGATACAGCAGGAGAGTCCCTGACAACTTTAGTAGTAACTCTCCTCATTAGACAGATCTGGGCAAATTTTCTTAACTCAGAGCAAGATTCCGGTACATATATATGTGTATATATATTTTTTTTTAGTTTTTTTTTTTTGGTCAGTATACCCTCATGCCCATTCTGGAATTTTCCCCCCATCCTGCCGGTGAGACCTCTCTGGCTGCGGATTAATGTGCTTCAAAGCGGAGGAGGAGGAGCTGGAAGCGTGCAGCGCTCTGTGCTGCCGCAGACCGCGCGCTGCCGAATTCACATATAAAAGTTACAATTTTCTTTCGTTTCCACCATGCCTGAGGTGGACTGTCAAAGCTGTGACAGCTCACACTGCCGCAGATACGCAGCCATCTCCCGAGTTCATCTGTGGGATTAACTCCTCAAAGGCTTTGAGAATATGGATTACACTCTGTAGTAGGCTGCGCTGTACCCAAGCCTACGTCTCAGCTCGCCCTTCCTCAGAGGAGGAGAAAAAAGAAAAAGAGACCAGAGGCTGCCGGTTTTGTGGAATTATTTTGTTAAAGCTTAGACTGTATGGAGTTATGGTCAAAGGCTCATATAATGTGCATTCCCATGTGTAGTCTGTTGAGCACCGGGAGCAGAATCATTGACTGGTCATGCAGCTTCTTATTTTGAACCTGGGAGCTGTTCTTCAGGAATTTGTTATCCCTGTGGTAGGGTTTTGTTTCAGTTCCCCAAAGCAACGTGTGTTATGAGGGAGAAAGCGACTCGTTCGTGTTGGTCGTTATTTTGGGATCTGGGTGGATGTGGTTTAGGCACCTGGAGACCCCATTCACCACATGTAGTATTCACCACAGGTAGCCTCAGGTGGAAGGGCTGGAGAGGTAACAGGGACAAGACACATAAACACAACCCAACAAATCCACCTGCTCTTTTAGGGTTACTAAAATTAAGGCAATAGTGTGCTAAGGTAAAGCATGGGCATTGACATGGGGCTAGTTATTTTGGTGTTATCTACATAGCAAATGTCACACTTTTTAATGAAGTACCTTCTTGGTGGGGATCCAGACCGCTGGGGATGTTATACTGGGGGCTCATTGGTAACACTCTGTGCTCAGGCGCCCAGTGAAGCCAGGATGCTGCAGCTGCTTATCTGTATATCCAGTGTGTATCCATCTGTTGCTACTGCTGGATATTTTAATATTGCTGGAACTGGAAGTAGCCTGTGTAGCATATTTCCAGGGATCATGGAAAGCGCTGGCCCTAGGATGCTTTAATTCATCTATTCATCTCCAGTGGCAAAAGCACTGGCAAGCGGGCGATCTCCTTGCTGAGGAGCCCTGCTCTTCCTCTGGGGCTGTGGTGGGGCAGCTCGATGGGGAATGCAGGCCAGTGGCTCACGGGTCCCTCCTGGGAAACACAGGCACCTCTGTGCTCGATGCTGCTGCTCAAGGGTTGGGTAACCTCAGGATGTCCAAAGTTATCCAGCTCTTCCAAAAGAACTGTGCTAGCCTAAGCCAAAACGGAAGGGCTCTTCACTGTACACAAAGTCAGGGGGAGGATACTACCTTTGGAAATTTTAATTCACTAAAATTAATATTATCAGTGACTCACTGAGGATGTCTTAAATTTGGCTTTGCTTTCCATCTCTGTCTGTGGCAAGAGTCTCTTCGACACCTACTAAACAGGTGTCTGTGGAGTAGTTCCAGGACTGTAACGAGCTGCTCCGTTACCGGATCTCGCTAGGGTGAGATTATGTGTGAGGAGATAGGAGTTACTAAACTGGGTATTTAGGATCAAAAAAAAAAAAAATTAACTGACTAATTTTGGTCAGAATCACCAAAAGTTTTCATCTGAGAGATTGCTCTTCTCTCTGTGCTTAATCCAGGGCAACTATAAGAAGTAGCATTGACTGTAGCAAGATTGCATAATACCGACTTTTTAATGGACTTCCTTGTACTATGCAGCAGAAGCCAGCAAAAATAAACAGCTGAAAGCCTGTCCGTACTTGTCAAATAAACTCTGCAAGACCTCCCCCTCTACCACACTGTATTTCTGTATAGAAAAATCAGTTTCCTCTCTGGGTACCAGTGTATCAATGAGGGGCCTTGGGGGGCCCTTACAGAAGTGAAAAGTGACTTTTTTGTGTGTGCAAGTGTTGTGACATGCGTTGCTTTTACGACCCTGGGCAGATGGGATGTTGTTAGATATTTGAAAAATAGAAAACACTTAAACAAAAAAAAAACAGATATGACTGCCTGTGCTACAGCTTTGTTTACTTTTGTATTTCACTCTGCGCTCTTTCTCCTGCAGGCATTTCCTATTCAAAACAGGAACAGGGACCACACCGCTGTTCAGTACTGCAACACCAGGGTACACGATGGCATCCGGCTCGGTGTATTCCCCTCCGACTCGGCCACTACCTAGGAACACTCTGTCCAGAAGTGCTTTTAAATTCAAGAAGTCTTCGAAGTATTGTAGCTGGAAATGTACTGCCCTCTGTGCTGTAGGGGTCTCGGTGCTGCTGGCAATACTGCTATCCTACTTTATAGGTGAGTTCCATTTGTTTATGATAATTGTCGCCATAAAGAGGGGTGTCTGGAGGTTTTTATATGGGTTGTGCCTTGTAAATGTTCATTCACAACATTTTTTTTTTATGTAACAGTATAAACCACAACAGTGATTTAATTGGAACTCTGGTCCTTTAGAGGGAAGAGAAAATGTGGATACTTTGCAAGCATTTTGCAGCACAACAGCAAACGATAACTTCAAAGACGTATTTGAACTGCAGTTAAGCTATGTGGTGGCTAATCCTTTTTAAAGCATATTTTTAGTGCAAGCTGTAAAATTCCATAATACAAATGTAACTTGCAACATAGCCATGGAACTTGTTCTCCTCATGTTGTCCTTTTGAACAATTATTTCCCTACCTTGCAATTAAAAATCTCTAGCTCCACTCACGAACTCAAAATGAGATGATATAAGTGAAAGTTTGCATTCCTACGTGGTGTCTTAGTTGTATTTCAAGCAAAACAGAAGAAAAAAGTTCCATGAACAACATGAGGATGCTGTTCAAAAGAACAACATGTGAAGGAGGATTTATCCTTTCTGATGAGTTGTTTATTTATTCTTTTTTCTCCTTATTCGTTAAATTTGCTTTCCTGATTTTCATTTTATATCATTTGCTTTATTTCTTTATTGTTATAACATTTTTAATTGCATAAACATTTGTTGTCAAAATTATCTCATTTGAGTTTTAGGCTATTCATGGGGACAGTGCTTATCTGTGAGAAAAAAAGTTAATTGACTTTAATAAGGGAACAGAGCAGGCTTGTAATGTATTTTCAGCTTCTCCTGTGGCCGGGTCCAGATGACAGGTATTGCCACCTCTGGGTCAGTAAAAAGTCTTCAAAGACTTTCTTTTTTGACTGACTTGCTAATTATAAGTTTAAATCGTCACGATTATGGAAGAATAAGTGTACGAGAGCCATTTGTTGCATTCAGATCCAAAATCTTAGAGAAGGAAGGAAAGTAGAAAGAGGGGAGTCACTCTTCTCCTTCTTTCTTAAGGCGATGTAAGTTATAACGAAGCCTGGAAGGCCCTGTGATCCTTAAATCTTCGCTGCCTTTGTTGAAGCAGGCGTGTTACCTTTCAGTTGGAGGCGTAGCGTGTAAAGCCTTTGAAGTGGCTCTTCCAGGGCCGAAGCTGCGGTGAGCAGCGCGCGAAACGGGGCAGCCGAGTGACGGCAGAAACCCCCGTGTCCCGCGGCAGAGCAGAGCCTCCTTCCCACCACGGGCACGAGGCCCCCATGCAGATGCTGGGGTCACCGTCACGGTCGAGGCCATTTCATGCCCGACGTTTGCTGTGGTTTTGAGTGACTGTTGTGCGCAGGGGTGTAAAGCTGTGGTTTAGAGTTGAGCTTTGACACTGCCTTTCTTTTTTTTAATGGGATTGAAACAGTCCCATTTTTAAAAGCCAGTAGCTGTGCTTGCCTCTGACAGTCATTACAATCAAACACACGCTACTAAATAAATACGTAAATAAATAAATATGAAAGGAGGAATTCAGTAGGAAGTTATCACTGTTAAGGATGAGGAAAAATGGCTGTATTGATGGTAAAATACTGAAGACTTGCTTCTGAGCTGAGCTCTACACCTCCCTAGCCCCAATGAGCCAGATTACTTATGAATCTGAGGGGCACAAGAAGATAGCTCTGCCGGATTATTTCTCCCACAGGCACATTAAGAAATACAAGCATGTCTAATGCGCCTCTATGTGTGTATTCGCAAAACAGAAGTGAGCTTTCCAGTGAGTGAGAGCTTTCAGCTCCACACATTATTTATTCACATACTCTGTTAAAAAAAAAAAAAAGAATGAAAAGAAAAAGAAAAACCTGAGCGTAGCTGTACAACATTTCCTGGGCATGCGCCAGCTCACGTCCTTGCTGGAATAAAGAGTGCACAAGGGCCTTCCTCTGCCCGGAGTCAATAGGGAGCTCTTTGCCTACTGGTGATATTACACATATTTCAGCTAACTCAGCAATCTAAATGTAAAATCCAGCACTCAGGGATGCTCTCTGGAGAACTCCAGGTCCATAAAACCATGAATGGATTACACTCATTCATGTATGTGGTTTTCCCATCTCTGCAGATGTAATATCAGAAATACTCTCCGTTTAATAGGCCATCCAAGTATAAATCAGTGGAAATTATTAATACAAGATGGAAACAGCCCTCCGTTTCGGTTAACCATTTCATAGCAAAGGTATGAGAGGGAAAAATGGCAGGGTGGGAAGTTGCTGGAGATGTGAGACTTGGGCTGCAGGAGCGCGGGCAGCGCGATCGGTGCCTCGCCGCGAGGGGAGGCAAACGTGTCGTGCCCAGCTGATGCTGTTTCAAGGGATGTGGCATGGAGAAAAGCGACTTCAGAGACCTCTGCTGCTGCTCAAGCACTGCTGCAAGGCAGGAGAGACAGTTTTCTAGGCTTGGTGTCTGCCTGTGCCCAATAGCTCTGGCAATTACTGCTCTGGAGACAGGGGGGACAGCTCTGCCTTGCACTCCTTCCATCACCGGGACAGGAAAGACTCTTAGGATTGCAAAAGCTACGGAAGGGAGGTGAGAGCAGACGAAGTCAGCGTGGGGAGAGCGCAGCATTTCACAGGCACGCCATCATAAAGCCCCTTAGTGCCGTCTTGCAGGTCGCAAGGCATTGGGAATGTTATTCTAGTCTAAAGGAAAGCAGGTCTCACCTTTCCGTACCCTGTGTATTCGGGCTTTTCAAGCTCTGTTAGTCTCTCGCGCTCTCCTGAAATGTACAGAATGTTTAAGCTTACCGCGTCCGGCAGTGTTAAAGTATTAACTTTAGGGAAGATAAAAGCGAGTTTTGGGAAATGCTGACCTTCTGGTTAAAGGGTTTATCTGTAGTAAGTGATTGAGAAGCTGCAAATTAGGTGACAGAAACATGAAAATCTGAAGTGCCACAGTTAAAGATATTTTATCAAAGAGGAAAAAGAGTAGCATAGAGGAGACCAGGTTTAAGAAACAGCTCTAGTTTAAAGAACAATGCTTCGGAAGAGTGGGATGAAAAGAGGGAAAAAAAGAATATAAATTGCTTAGCTTTTGGATTGAGATTACACTGGAATTTCGACTAGCAGTTTAGTTGGTTAACTGCTATCCATAATCTGATTTTCAGCCAAGGAAAAAGAAGACAAATGCATTCTAACATGGACATTTTTAGAATCCTTCATTAAAACAACAACAACAAAAACCCCTTTTTCCCTGTTTGGAAAATGAGGAAGAGCAGTATTAAATTTAAGCCATGGAAATGTAAGAAATACCAAGTTGCCTTAGCTTCACCTCTTTCTATATACACAGGGAGTCTGTGTAGGAGTCAGAAGTGGGGTCCAGCTTCACAATGTGCAAGACAAAACATAACAGGACTTTGTACTGTTCTTCCCTGTGCCTCATGGCCTCGTTCAGTATCCAGCATTTGCTGAATAAATGAAGCAAAGTTTGTAGAGCAGCTCCCGGCTGAAACTGTGAGTCAAATGAAAGTTTCATAGCCTCAAACCTGTCAGCTCCTACATTTCGGGGTCTTCTCTTCCTTACTACGGGGAGAGAGTTGCATGTTATTTTGCCTGTTCTTTTTTAAGTAAAGAGAAAAATCCACAGTTCGATCTTAGAGAATCACATCAGTCAGGAGGAATTGCTTTCAATACATGTCATTGCACAGCAAGGCTTTGACCAGTTACATTATAGGAGCAGTCAATACCACCTCTAAATTATTTCTTTTCTAATGTGGATTCAACAACTGGATGAAATAATGAGAATTTGGGGACATCAGGGCCTCTCTTTCTGGCTCAAGAATTGCTTTGGCAACTGCTTGTCCCTGGTCAATGGCGTTGGCTTGACAAGGCCTAAGTCAGTGCAAGGTGTCAGGGCCATCGTGCCATTTTCCCTCACTGACCAGCCATTTTCCTCAGTCAGGGCTGGAATTGCACAACCCCAGATTTAATCAACTGGGCTTGGAGAATTGCACACTGAAAGATTATGTGCATCTGTCATGAGTATTGTCCTCTGTCCAGTAAATAGGTTTCTATTAACATAAAACATTGTTTGAATACGTGGCGAAACTTGACCTGTTCAGTCCACCTTCTCTGCTGTTGCGGCTTCTTCACAGTGATCTGTCATACTCCCAGGCCTATTTGCATTTTATGAGCATTTTAACCTCTGTGTACCTTGAAATTGATTATTGCATTAGCCTTAGCTCTATAGCCAATGTCAGAAGAATACATACTAAGCAATTATTCTTTACAGTAAAGGAAATATTTAAATATCTGTGGTAACATATTGATATCTCTATAAAAAAACTTTGATTTTTTTTAATTTAAAAGGACAGCAAATATACCAGACTTTTTTTTTTTTAATCACTACTCTATGAACAGTTAAGTAAATCTATTTGAGACAGAAAATAAGGCTAACACCTGAAGTATCCCCTGGGAAAATTTTTATTTTACTCTCTCAGAAATGGCAGAAAATACATTTCTGTTTGAGCAGGTTCTGTCGTGATGTAGAGATGACCATGTAGTCTTAGTGCTAATTGCAAATGGGTTGGGAATGGATAAGCATACCAGATCTGAAAGCCCTGTTTGTCATCCACAGATAATTCATATTTCCACATTTGGGGAGATATAAGTATATTGTGCTTGGGATTGTTACATTTTGCATCATTTCTGAAAATGTATTGTTTTATCATTATCTCAAAACATTTAAGCTGAAAACGTATTCTGATACTTTAATAAACTCACAAGCGCTGCTATATCTGGAGTGTGAGAGAGAGAAACCTGTTGAGAATGAGAGGGGAACCCTGTGAGGTTCCTTAGCAGACACACAAGAGGAGGGAGGTGCCTGAGATGAGGTTTAATGAATCCTTAGAAATTATAAAATTGTCTCTTTCTCTAGCTTAATCGTGGTTAGATTTTCAGCTCTCTCCGGTGCTGTTTCTGGTCCTGTTTTCTGCCGCTTTATTCTGCCGTTTATAAAGCTCAATTAC